TTGGTGATGGTGATGATGTTGATTATGATGTTGGTGGTGATGATGCTGATTATGATGTTGGTGATGATGATGATGTTGGTGATGGTGATGATGCTGATTATGATGTTGGTGGTGATGATGCTCATGATGATGATGTTGGTGATGATGATGATGATGATGTTGGTGATGGTGATGATGCTGATTATGATGTTGGTGGTGATGACGCTGATTATGATGTTGGTGGTGATGATGCTCATGATGATGATGTTGGTGATGATGATGATGTTGGTGATGATGCTCATGATGATGATGTTGGTGATGATGATGATGATGTTGGTGATGATGCTCATGATGATGATGTTGGTGATGATGCTGATGTTGGTGATGATGATGATGATGTTGGTGATGATGCTCATGATGATGATGTTGGTGATGATGATGATGATGTTGGTGGTGATGATGCTCATGATGATGATGTTGGTGATGATGATGATGATGTTGGTGGTGATGATGCTCATGATGATGATGTTGGTGATTATGATGATGATGATGTTGGTGATGATGTTGGTGGTGATGATGCTCATGATGATGATGTTGGTGATAATGATGATGATGTTGGTGATGATGCTCATGATGATGATGTTGGTGATGATGATGATGATGTTGGTGATGATGATGCTCATGATGATGATGTTGGTGATGATGATGATGTTGGTGGTGATGATGCTCATGATGATGATGTTGGTGATGATGATGATGATGTTGGTGATGATGCTCATGATGATGATGTTGGTGATGATGATGATGATGATGTTGGTGATGATGTTGGTGATGATGATGATGATGTTGGTGATGATGATGATGATGTTGGTGATGATGATGATGATGTTGGTGATGATGATGCAGATGGCACGAACTCAGAAGAACAAAGCCACCGCTCACCACCTGGGCCTGCTGAAGGCTCGGCTAGCCAAGCTTCGCAGGGAGCTCATCACTCCCAAGGGTGGCGGAGCCGCCACCGGCGAAGGTGAGACGCTCACCACCGCTCACCACCGCTCACCACCGCTCACCACCACTTACTACTACTACTCACCATCGCTCACCACCGCTCACCACAACTTACTACTACTCACCACCGCTCACCACCGCTCACCACCGCTCACCATCGCTCACCACCGCTCACCACAACTTACTACTACTCACCACCGCTCACCACAACTTACTACTACTCACCATCGCTCACCACCGCTCACCACCGCTCACCACCGCTCACTACTACTACTCGCCACCGCTCACCACCGCTCACCACCGCTTACTACTACTCACCACCACTTACTACTACTACTCACCACCACTCGCCACCGCTCACCACCGCTCACCACCACTCACCACCACTTACTACTACTCACCACCGCTCACCACCACTCACCACTGCTCACCACCGCTCACCACTACTCACCACCACTTACCACTACTCACCACCACTTACCACTACTCACCACCGCTCACCACTGCTCACCATCGCTCACCACCACTTACTACTACTCACCACCGTGTCTCTCCCCCTCGTCCCACCCCTGTGTCCCACCCCCTTGTCCCACCCCCTTGTCCCACCCCCTGTGTCCCCCTTGTCCCACCCCTGTGTCCCACCCCCTCGTCCCACCCCCTCGTCCCACCCCCTCTCTCCCTTGTCCCACCTCTGTGTCTCACCCCCTTGTCCCACCCCCTCACCCCCTTGTCCCACCCCCTTGTCCCACCCCCTGTGTCCCACCCCCGTGTCCCACCCCCCTCACCCCCGTGTCCCACCACCAGGGTTTGACGTAGCCAAGACTGGTGACGCCCGTATCGGCTTTGTTGGCTTCCCCTCGGTGGGGAAGTCAACGCTGCTGAGCAATCTGGCCGGAGTCTACTCAGAAGTGGCCGCTTACGAGTTCACCACCCTCACCACCGTGCCAGGAGTCATCAAGTATAAGGGGGGCGAAGATACAGGCACGTAGACTCACTCACTCTCTCACAGACTCACTCACTCACTCACAGACTCACTCACTCACTCACAGACTCACTCACTCACTCACAGACTCACTACGAGTTCACCACCCTCACCACCGTGCCAGGAGTCATCAAGTATAAGGGGGCGAAGATACAGGCATGTAGACTCACTCACTCACTCACAGACTCACTCACTCACTCACAGACTCACTCACTCACTCACAGACTCACTCACTCACTCACAGACTCACTACGAGTTCACCACCCTCACCACCGTGCCAGGAGTCATCAAGTATAAGGGGGCGAAGATACAGGCACGTAGACTCACTCACTCACTCACAGACTCACTCACTCACTCACAGACTCACTCACTCACTCACAGACTCACTCACTCACTCACAGACTCACTCACTCACAGACTCACTACGAGTTCACCACCCTCACCACCGTGCCAGGAGTCATCAAGTATAAGGGGGCGAAGATACAGGCATGTAGACTCACTCACTCACTCACAGACTCACTCACTCACTCACAGACTCACTCACTCACTCACAGACTCACTCACTCACTCACAGACTCACTCACTCACTCACAGACTCACTACGAGTTCACAACTCTCACCACCGTGCCAGGAGTCATCAAGTATAAGGGGGCGAAGATACAGGCACGTAGACTCACTCACTCTCTCACAGACTCACTCACTCACTCACAGACTCACTCACTCACTCACAGACTCACTCACTCACTCACAGACTCACTACGAGTTCACCACTCTCACCACCGTGCCAGGAGTTATCAAGTATAAGGGGGCGAAGATACAGGCACGTAGACTCACTCACTCACTCACAGACTCACTCACTCACTCACAGACTCACTCACTCACAGACTCACTCACTCACTCAGAGACTCACTCACACACTCACAGACTCACTATGAGTTCACAACCCTCACCACCGTGCCAGGAGTCATCAAGTATAAGGGGGCGAAGATACAGGCACGTAGACTCACTCACTCACAGACTCACTCACTCACTCACAGACTCACTCACTCACAGACTCACTCACTCACTCAGAGACTCACTCACACACTCACAGACTCACTATGAGTTCACAACCCTCACCACCGTGCCAGGAGTCATCAAGTATAAGGGGGCGAAGATACAGGCATGTAGACTCACTCACTCACTCACAGACTCACTCACTCACTCACAGACTCACTCACTCACTCACAGACTCACTCACTCACTCACAGACTCACTATGAGTTCACAACTCTCACCACCGTGCCAGGAGTCATCAAGTATAAGGGGGGCGAAGATACAGGCACGTAGACTCAGTCACAGACTCACTCACTCACTCACAGACTCACTCACTCACTCACAGACTCACTCACTCACTCACAGACTCACTCACTCACTCACAGACTCACTCACTCACTCACAGACTCACTCACTCACTCACAGACTCACTACGAGTTCACCACCCTCACCACCGTGCCAGGAGTCATCAAGTATAAGGGGGCGAAGATACAGGCACGTAGACTCACTCACTCACTCACAGACTCACTCACTCACTCACAGACTCACTCACTCACTCACAGACTCACTACGAGTTCACCACCCTCACCACCGTGCCAGGAGTCATCAAGTATAAGGGGGCGAAGATACAGGCATGTAGACTCACTCACTCACTCACAGACTCACTCACTCACTCACAGACTCACTCACTCACTCACAGACTCACTCACTCACTCACAGACTCACTACGAGTTCACCACCCTCACCACCGTGCCAGGAGTCATCAAGTATAAGGGGGCGAAGATACAGGCACGTAGACTCACTCACTCACTCACAGACTCACTCACTCACTCACAGACTCACTCACTCACTCACAGACTCACTCACTCACTCACAGACTCACTACGAGTTCACCACCTTCACCACCGTGCCAGGAGTCATCAAGTATAAGGGGGCGAAGATACAGGCACGTAGACTCACTCACTCACTCACAGACTCACTCACTCACTCACAGACTCACTCACTCACTCACAGACTCACTCACTCACAGACTCACTACGAGTTCACCACCCTCACCACCGTGCCAGGAGTCATCAAGTATAAGGGGGCGAAGATACAGGCACGTAGACTCACTCACTCACTCACAGACTCACTCACTCACTCACAGACTCACTCACTCACTCACAGACTCACTCACTCACTCACAGACTCACTATGAGTTCACAACTCTCACCACCGTGCCAGGAGTCATCAAGTATAAGGGGGCGAAGATACAGGCACGTAGACTCAGTCACAGACTCACTCACTCACTCACAGACTCACTCACTCACTCACAGACTCACTCACTCACTCACAGACTCACTCACTCACTCACAGACTCACTCACTCACTCACAGACTCACTCACTCACTCACAGACTCACTACGAGTTCACCACCCTCACCACCGTGCCAGGAGTCATCAAGTATAAGGGGGCGAAGATACAGGCACGTAGACTCACTCACTCACTCACAGACTCACTCACTCACTCACAGACTCACTCACTCACTCACAGACTCACTACGAGTTCACCACCCTCACCACCGTGCCAGGAGTCATCAAGTATAAGGGGGCGAAGATACAGGCATGTAGACTCACTCACTCACTCACAGACTCACTCACTCACTCACAGACTCACTCACTCACTCACAGACTCACTCACTCACTCACAGACTCACTACGAGTTCACCACCCTCACCACCGTGCCAGGAGTCATCAAGTATAAGGGGGCAAAGATACAGGCACGTAGACTCACTCACTCACTCACAGACTCACTCACTCACTCACAGACTCACTCACTCACTCACAGACTCACTCACTCACTCACAGACTCACTACGAGTTCACCACCCTCACCACCGTGCCAGGAGTCATCAAGTATAAGGGGGCGAAGATACAGGCACGTAGACTCACTCACTCACTCACAGACTCACTCACTCACTCACAGACTCACTCACTCACTCACAGACTCACTCACTCACTCACAGACTCACTCAGTCACTCACAGACTCACTCACTCACTCACAGACTCACTCACAGACTCACTCACTCACTCACAGACTCACTCACTCACTCACAGACTCACTCACTCACTCACAGACTCACTCACAGACTCACTCACTCACTCACAGACTCACTACGAGTTCACCACCCTCACCACCGTGCCAGGAGTCATCAAGTATAAGGGGGCGAAGATACAGGCATGTAGACTCACTCACTCACTCACAGACTCACTCACTCACTCACAGACTCACTCACTCACTCACAGACTCACTCACTCACTCACAGACTCACTACGAGTTCACCACCCTCACCACCGTGCCAGGAGTCATCAAGTATAAGGGGGCGAAGATACAGGCACGTAGACTCACTCACTCACTCACAGACTCACTCACTCACTCACAGACTCACTCACTCACTCACAGACTCACTCACTCACTCACAGACTCACTCACTCACAGACTCACTACGAGTTCACCACCCTCACCACCGTGCCAGGAGTCATCAAGTATAAGGGGGCGAAGATACAGGCATGTAGACTCACTCACTCACTCACAGACTCACTCACTCACTCACAGACTCACTCACTCACTCACAGACTCACTCACTCACTCACAGACTCACTACGAGTTCACCACCCTCACCACCGTGCAAGGAGTCATCAAGTATAAGGGGGCGAAGATACAGGCACGTAGACTCACTCACTCACTCACAGACTCACTCACTCACTCACAGACTCACTCACTCACAGACTCACTCACTCACTCACAGACTCACTCACTCACTCACAGACTCACTCACTCACTCAGAGACTCACTCACACACTCACAGACTCACTCACTCACTCACAGACTCACTCACTCACAGACTCACTCACTCACAGACTCACTCACTCACAGACTCACTCACTCACTCACAGACTCACTCACTCACTCACAGACTCACTCACTCACTCATAGACTCACTCACTCACTCACAGACTCACAGACTCACTCACTCACAGACTCACTCACTCACTCACAGACTCACTCACTCATAGACTCACTCACTCACTCACACACTCATAGACTCACTCACTCACTCACAGACTCACTCACAGACTCACTCACAGACTCACTCACACACTCACAGACTCACTACGAGTTCACCACCCTCACCACCGTGCCAGGAGTCATCAAGTATTAGGGGCGAAGATACAGGCACGTAGACTCACTCACTCACTCACAGACTCACTCACTCACTCACAGACTCACTATGAGTTCACAACTCTCACCACCGTGCCAGGAGTCATCAAGTATAAGGGGGCGAAGATACAGGCATGTAGACTCACTCACTCACTCACAGACTCACTCACTCACAGACTCACTCACTCACTCATAGACTCACTCACTCACTCACAGACTCACTCACTCACTCACAGACTCACTCACTCATAGACTCACTCACTCACTCATAGACTCACTCACTCACTCATAGACTCACTCACTCACTCATAGACTCACTCACTCACTCACAGACTCACTCACTCACTCACTACGAGTTCACAACTCTCACCACCGTGCCAGGAGTCATCAAGTATAAGGGGGCAAAGATACAGGCATGTAGACTCACTCACTCACTCACAGACTCACTCACTCACTCACAGACTCACTCACTCACTCACAGACTCACTCACTCAGACTCACTCACTCACTCACAGACTCACTCACTCACTCACAGACTCACTCATAGACTCATAGACTCACTCACTCACAGACTCACTCACTCACTCATAGACTCACTCATAGACTCACTCACTCACTCACAGACTCACTCACTCACAGACTCACTCACAAACTCACTCACTCATAGACTCACTCACTCACTCACAGACTCACTCACACACTCACAGACTCACTCACACACTCACTCACTCACAGACTCACTCATAGACTCATAGACTCACTCACTCACTCATAGACTCACTCACTCACTCACAGACTCACTCACTCACAGACTCACTCACATAATCACTCACTCACAGACTCACTCACTCACTCACAGACTCACTCACTCACTCACCACTCACTCACTCACTCACAGACTCACTCACTCACTCACAGACTCACTCACTCACTCACAGACTCACTCACTCACTCACAGACTCACTCACTCACAGACTCACTCACTCACTCATAGACTCACTCATAGACTCACTCACTCACTCACAGACTCACTCACTCACTCACAGACTCACTCACAAACTCACTCACTCATAGACTCACTCACTCACTCACAGACTCACTCACACACTCACAGACTCACTCACACACTCACTCACTCACAGACTCACTCATAGACTCATAGACTCACTCACTCACTCATAGACTCACTCACTCACTCACAGACTCACTCACTCACAGACTCACTCACATAATCACTCACTCAGACTCACTCACTCACTCACAGACTCACTCACTCACTCACCACTCACTCACTCACTCACAGACTCACTCACTCACAGGCTCACTCACTCACAGACTCACTCACTCATAGACTCACTCACTCACTCATAGACTCACTCACTCATAGACTCACTCACTCACTCACAGACTCACTCACTCATAGACTCACTCACTCATAGACTCACTCACTCACAGACTCACCCACTCATAGACTCACTCACTCACTCATAGACTCACTCACTCATAGACTCACTCACTCACTCACTCACAGACTCACTCACTCACTCATAGACTCGCTCACTCATAGACACTCAGAGACTCACTCACTCACTCACCACTCACTCACTCACTCACAGACTCACTCACTCACAGGCTCACTCACTCACTCACAGACTTACTCACTCATAGACTCACTCACTCACTCATAGACTCACTCACTCATAGACTCACTCACAGACTCACCCACTCATAGACTCACTCACTCATAGACTCACTCACTCATAGACTCACTCACTCACTCACAGACTCACTCACTCACTCATAGACACTCAGAGACTCACTCACAGACTCACCCACTCATAGACTCACTCACTCATAGACTCACTCACTCATAGACTCACTCACTCACTCACAGACTCACTCACTCACTCATAGACTCACTCACTCATAGACACTCAGAGACTCACTCACAGACTCACTCACTCATAGACTCGTGCAGAGACAGACTGTGACTCAGGGAGTCTGTGACCCCCTCCCCCCTCTCCCCCTCCTCCCTCCCTCTCCCCCTCCCCTCTCCCCCCTCCCTCTCCCCCCTCCCCCCTCTCCCCCTCCCCCCCTTCCCCCTCCCCCCTCTCCCCCTCCCCCCTCTCCCCCTCCCCCCTCCCTCTCCCCCCTCTCCCCCTCCCCCCCTCCCCCCTCTCCCCCTCCCCCCTCCCTCTCCCCCTCCCCCCTCTCCCCCTCCCCCCCTCCCCCCTCTCCCCCTCCCCCCCCTCTCCCCTCCCCTCGTGCTGCAGCTTCTGGATTTGCCGGGAATCATCGAGGGAGCCAAAGACGGCAAGGGGAGAGGACGTCAGGTGATCGCAGGTGACCCCCCAACTACACCCAACTACCCCCCAACTACACCCCAACAACCCCCCAACTACACCCCAACAACCCCCCAACTACACCCTAACTCCCCCCCCCCCCCCCCACTACACCCCAACTACACCCTAACTACCCCATAACTACACCCCAACCACACCCCGACCACACCCCAACTACACCCTAACCACACCCCAACTACACCCTAACTACACCCTAACAACCCCCCAACTGCACCCCAACTACACCCCAACTACACCCTAACAACCCCATAACTGCACCCTAACTACACCCTAGCCACCCCCTGACTACCCCCTAACTACCCCATAACTACACCCCAACTGCACCCTAACCACACCCCATCGACACCCCAACTACACCCTAACTACCCCCCAACTACACCCTAACCACACCCCAACTACGCCCCAACTACACCCCAACTACACCCCGACTACACCCTAACTACTCCCTAGCTACCCCCCAACTACCCCCCAATTACACCCTAACTACCCCCGAACTACCCCCCTAACTACCCCCTAACGACACTAACTACCCCCTAACCACCCCCTTACTACCCCCCAACTACCCCCCCAACTACCCCCTAACTACACCCTGACGACCCCCCTGACGCCCCCCTGACTACCCCGGACGACCCCCTGACTACACCCTAACCGCACCCTAACTACACCCCAACCACACCCCGACTACACCCTAACTACACCATAACTACACCCTAACTACCCCCCAACCCCCCCCCCCCCCAATTACACCCTAACTACCCCCTAACTACCCCTAACTACCCCCTAACGGCACTAACTACCCCCTAACCACCCCCTTACTACCCCCCAACTACCCCCCAACTACACCGTGACGACCCCCCTGACGACCCCCCAACTACACCCCAACAACCCCCCAACTACACCCTAACTACCCCCCAACTACACCCTAACTACCCCATAACTACACCCCGACCACGCCCCAACCACACCCCAACTACACCCCAACTACACCCTAACTACACCTCAACTACACCCCAACTACACCCTAACTACACCCTAACAACCCCCCCAACTACACCCCAACTACACCCCAACTACGCCCTTACAACCCCATAACTACACCCTAACTACACCCTAACCACCCCTGGCTACCCCCTAACTACCCCATAACTACACCCCAACTGCACCCTAACCACACCCCATCGACACCCTAACTACCCCCCAACTACACCCTAACCACACCCCGACTACGCCCCAACTACACCCCAACTACACCCCGACTACACCCTAACTACTCCCTAGCTACCCCCCAACTACCCCCCAATTACACCCTAGCTACCCCTGAACTACCCCCCCTAACTACTCCTAACTACCCCCTAACGACACTAACTACCCCCTAACCACCCCCTTACTACCCCCCAACTACCCCCCCAACTACCCCCTAACTACACCCTGACGGCCCCCCGGATGACCCCCTGACTACACCTTAATCGCACCCTAACTACACCCCAACTACAACCCGACTACACCCTAACTACACCATAACTACACCCTAACTACCCCCCCCCCAATTACACCCTACCTACCCCCTAACTACCCCCTAACGACACTAACTACCCCCTAACCACCCCCCAACTACACCCTGATGACCCCCCTGACGACCCCCTGACTACACCCTACCAACCCCCCAACTACACCCTAACTACCCCCCAACTACACCCCAACTACCCCGTAACTACCCCCTAACTACCCCCCAACTACCCCCCAACTACACCCCAACTACCCCCCAACTACCCCATAACTTCACCCTGACTACCCCCCAACTACACTCTAACTACACCCCAACTACCCCCCAACTACACCCCAACTACACCCCAAACTACCCCCTAACTACCCCCAACTACACCCAATCATCGAGGGAGCCAAAGACGGCAAGGGGAGAGGACGTCAGGTGATCGCAGGTGACCCCCCAACTACACCCAACTACCCCCCAACTACACCCCAACAACCCCCCAACTACACCCCAACAACCCCCCAACTACACCCCAACAACCCCCCCCCCCCCCCACTACACCCCAACTACACCCTAACTACCCCATAACTACACCCCAACCACACCCCGACTACACCCCAACTACACCCTAACTACACCCCAACTACACCCTAACTACACCCTAACAACCCCCCCAACTGCACCCCAACTACACCCCAACTACACCCTAACAACCCCATAACTGCACCCTAACTACACCCTAGCCACCCCCTGACTACCCCCTAACTACCCCATAACTACACCCCAACTGCACCCTAACCACACCCCATCGACACCCCAACTACACCCTAACTACCCCCAACTACACCCTAACCACACCCCAACTACGCCCCAACTACACCCCAACTACACCCCGACTACACCCTAACTACTCCCTAGCTACCCCCCAACTACCCCCCAATTACACCCTAACTACCCCCGAACTACCCCCCTAACTACCCCCTAACGACACTAACTACCCCCTAACCACCCCCTTACTACCCCCCAACTACCCCCCCAACTACCCCCTAACTACACCCTGACGACCCCCCTGACGCCCCCCTGACTACCCCGGACGACCCCCTGACTACACCCTAACCGCACCCTAACCACACCCCGACTACACCCTAACTACACCATAACTACACCCTAACTACCCCCCAACCCCCCCCCCCCCCCAATTACACCCTAACTACCCCCTAACTACCCCTAACTACCCCCTAACGGCACTAACTACCCCCTAACCACCCCCTTACTACCCCCCAACTACCCCCCAACTACACCGTGACGACCCCCCTGACGACCCCCCAACTACACCCCAACAACCCCCCAACTACACCCTAACTACCCCCCAACTACACCCTAACTACCCCATAACTACACCCCGACCACGCCCCAACCACACCCCAACTACACCCCAACTACACCCTAACTACACCTCAACTGCACCCCAACTACACCCCAACTACACCCTAACTACGCCCTAGCAACCCCCCCAACTACACCCCAACTACACCCCAACTACGCCCTTACAACCCCATAACTACACCCTAACTACACCCTAACCACCCCTGGCTACCCCCTAACTACCCCATAACTACACCCCAACTGCACCCTAACAACACCCCATCGACACCCTAACTACCCCCCAACTACACCCTAACCACACCCCGACTACGCCCCAACTACACCCCAACTACACCCCGACTACACCCTAACTACTCCCTAGCTACCCCCCAACTACCCCCCAATTACACCCTAGCTACCCCTGAACTACCCCCCCTAACTACTCCTAACTACCCCCTAACGACACTAACTACCCCCTAACCACCCCCTTACTACCCCCCAACTACCCCCCCAACTACCCCCTAACTACACCCTGACGGCCCCCCGGATGACCCCCTGACTACACCTTAATCGCACCCTAACTACACCCCAACTACAACCCGACTACACCCTAACTACCCCATAACTACACCCTAACTACCCCCCCCCCCCCAATTACACCCTACCTACCCCCTAACTACCCCCTAACGACACTAACTACCCCCTAACCACCCCCCAACTACACCCTGATGACCCCCCTGACGACCCCCTGACTACACCCTAACAACCCCCCAACTACACCCTAACTACCCCCCAACTACACCCCAACTACCCCGTAACTACCCCCTAACTACCCCCTAACTACCCCCCAACTACACCCCAACTACCCCCCACCTACCCCATAACTTCACCCTGACTACCCCCCAACTACACTCTAACTACACCCCAACTACCCCCCAACTACACCCCAACTACACCCCAAACTACCCCCTAACTACCCCCAACTACACCCTAACTACACTCTAACTACCCCCTAACTACCCCCCTAACTACACCCCAACCACACATTGACTACCACCTGACTACCCCCCAACTACACCCCAACCACACCCTAACTACACCCCGACTACCCCCTGACTACCACCTGGCTACACCCTAACTACACCCTGACTACCCCATAACCACCCCCCAAACACCCCCCCGACTACACCCTGACTACCACCTGACTACACCCTAACTACACCCTGACTACCACTATACGACCCCTTAACGACCCCTTAACGACACCTACACCACCAACACCCGCCCGTGTCTCCCCCCCCAACCCCCCGCCCACCCAGTGGCTCGTACTTGCAGCTTGATCTTCATCGTGCTGGACGTGCTGAAGCCGCTCATCCACAAGCAGCTGATTGAGCACGAGCTGGAGGGCTTTGGCCTGCGCCTCAACGCCGTCCCTCCCAGCATCGGCTTCCGTCGCAAGGACAAGGGGGGGATCAACCTCACCACCACTGTACGTGACGGTGACTCGCACACACACACACACACCTACACACACACCTACACACACCTACACACACACCTACACACACTCACACACACACACATACCTACACACACACCTACACACACACCTACACACACACCTACACACACACAAGGACAAGGGGGGGATCAACCTCACCACCACTGTACGTGACGGTGACTCGCACACACACACACACACACCTACACACACACACACACACCTACACACACACCTACACACCTACACACACACATCTACACACACACAAGGACAAGGGGGGGATCAACCTCACCACCACTGTACGTGACGGTGACTCGCACACACACACACACACACCTACACACACACCTACACACACCTACACACACACCTACACACACTCACACACACACACATACCTACACACACACCTACACACACACCTACACACACACCTACACACACACAAGGACAAGGGGGGGATCAACCTCACCACCACTGTACGTGACGGTGACTCGCACACACACACACACACACCTACACACACACACACACACCTACACACACACCTACACACCTACACACACACATCTACACACACACAAGGACAAGGGGGGGATCAACCTCACCACCACTGTACGTGACGGTGACTCGCACACACACACACACACCTACACACACACACACACACCTACACACACACCTACACACACCTACACACACACCTAGACACACACAAGGACAAGGGGGGGATCAACCTCACCACCACTGTACGTGACGGTGACTCGCACACACACACACACACACCTACACACACACACACACACCTACACACACACCTACACACCTACACACACACATCTACACACACACAAGGACAAGGGGGGGATCAACCTCACCACCACTGTACGTGACGGTGACTCGCACACACACACACACACCTACACACACACCTACACACACCTAGACACACACCTACACACACACACACACACACACATACCTACACACACACCTAGACACACACCTACACACACACCTACACACACACATACACACACACCTACACACACACACACGTACACACACACCTACACACACACACACACACCTAGACACACACACACACCTACACACACACACACCTAGACACACACAAGGACAAGGGGGGGATCAACCTCACCACCACTGTACGTGACGGTGACTCGCACACACACACACACACCTACACACACACACACACACCTACACACACACCTACACACACCTACACACACACCTAGACACACACAAGGACAAGGGGGGGATCAACCTCACCACCACTGTACGTGACGGTGACTCGCACACACACACACACACCTACACACACACCTACACACACCTACACACACACCTAGACACACACAAGGACAAGGGGGGGATCAACCTCACCACCACTGTACGTGACGGTGACTCGCACACACACACACACACCTACACACACACCTACACACACACACCTAGACACCTACACACACTCACACACACACACACACACCTACACACACACCTACACACACACCTACACACACACACACATCTACACACACACACCTACACACACACCTACACACACACAAGGACAAGGGGGGGATCAACCTCACCACCACTGTACGTGACGGTGACTCGCACACACACACACACACCTACACACACACCTACACACACACACACCTACACACACACACCTACACACACACCTAGACACACACACCTACACACACACACACACACCTACACACCTAGACACACACACCTACACACACACCTACACACACACACCTACACACACACACCTACACACACACCTACACACACACACACACACACACCTACACACACACACCTACACACACACCTAGACACACACACCTACACACACCTACACACCTACACACACCTACACACACACCTACACACACACCTACACACACACACCTACACACACACACCTACACCTACACACACACCTACACACACACAAGGACAAGGGGGGGGATCAACCTCACCACCACTGTACGTGACGGTGACTCGCACACACACACACACACCTACACACACACCTACACACACCTAGACACACACCTACACACACTCACACACACACACATACCTACACACACACCTAGACACACACCTACACACACACCTACACACACACCTACACACACACCTACACACACACACACGTACACACACACCTACACACACACACACACACCTAGACACACACACACACCTACACACACACACACCTAGACACACACAAGGACAAGGGGGGGATCAACCTCACCACCACTGTACGTGACGGTGACTCGCACACACACACACACACCTACACACACACCTACACACACACACACACACCTACACACACACACCTACACACACACCTAGACACACACACCTACACACACCTACACACCTACACACACCTACACACACACCTACACACACACCTACACACACACACCTACACACACACACCTACACCTACACACACACCTACACACACACAAGGACAAGGGGGGGATCAACCTCACCACCACTGTACGTGACGGTGACTCGCACACACACACACACACCTACACACACACCTACACACACCTAGACACACACCTACACACACTCACACACACACACATACCTACACACATACCTACACACACACCTAGACACACACCTACACACACACCTACACACACACCTACACACACACCTACACACACACACACGTACACACACACCTACACACACACACACACACCTAGACACACACACACACCTAGACACACACACCTAGACACACACAAGGACAAGGGGGGGATCAACCTCACCACCACTGTACGTGACGGTGACTCGCACACACACACACACACCTACACACCTACACACACACACCCACACACCTACACACCTAGACACACACACCTACACACACACCTACACACACACACACACCTACACACCTAGACACACACACCTACACACACACCTACACACACACACACACACCTACACACACACCTACACACACACCTACACACACACCTACACACACACACACACCTACACACTCACACACACCTAGACACACACAAGGACAAGGGGGGGATCAACCTCACCACCACTGTACGTGACGGTGACTCGCACACACACACACCTACACACACACACCTACACACACACACACCTACACACACACCTACACACACACACCTACACACACACCTAGACACACACACCTACACACACACACCTACACACACACACCTACACACACACCTACACACACACACCTACACACACATACACACACACACACCTACACACACACACCTACACACACACACCTACACACACACCTACACACCTACACACACGTGCGATGCTCCCAGAGCGAGCCAAACCAGGAGACAGCATGCTCCATCCTGTGATGGTGGTGCACATGCCCTGGCACAAGCGTCGTGGTGACGTCACCACCACTTAGTGGCGAATGGCGGTTGTTGGTGATGGTGGTGGTGGTGATGGTAGTGGTGGTGGTGGTGGTGATGGTGGTGATGGTGGTGGTGGTGGTGATGATGGTGGTGGTGGTGATGGTGGTGGTGATGGTGGTGGTGGTGGTGATGATGGTGGTGATGATGGTGGTGATGATGGTGGTGATGGTGGTGATGGTCGTGGTGGTGGTGATGGTGATGGTGGTGATGGTGTTGTTGGTGTTGTTGGTGTTGATGGTGGTGGTGGGTGGTGGTGGTGGTGCTGGTGGTGGTGGGTGGTGTTGGTGGTGGTGGGTGGTGTTGGTGCTGGTGGTGGTGCTGGTGGTGTTGGTGGTGGTGTTGGTGGTGGTGGTGTTGGTGGTGGTGTTGGTGGTGGTGATGGTGGTGGTGATGGTGGTGATGTTGATGGTGGTGTTGGTGTTGTTGGTGTTGATGGTGGTGATGGTGGTGGTGGTGTTGATGGTGGTGGTGTTGATGGTGGTGATGGTGATGATGGTGGTGATGATGGTGATGGTGATGTTGATGGTGGTGTTGGTGTTGTTGGCGTTGTTGGCGTTGTTGGTGTTGATGGTGGTGATGGTGGTGGTGGTGATGTTGATGGTGGTGTTGGTGTTGGTGTTGTTGATGGTGATGGTGGTGGTAATGGTGGTGGTGATGGTGGTGGTGATGGTGGTGGTGGTGATGGTGGTGATGGTGGTGGTGTTGATGGTGGTGGTGGTGTTGATGGTAGTGATGGTGATGATGGTGATGGTGATGTTGATGGTGGTGTTGGTGTTGTTGGCGTTGTTGGTGTTGATGGTGGTGATGGTGGTGGTGGTGATGTTGATGGTGGTGTTGGTGTTGTTGATGGTGATGGTGGTGGTAATGGTGGTGGTGATGGTGGTGGTGATGGTGGTGGTGGTGATGGTGATGGTGGTGTTGGTGTTGTTGGTGTTGATGGTGTTGATGGTGTTGTGATGGTGGTGTTGATGGTGTTGATGGTGTTGTGATGGTGGTGTTGATGGTGTTGATGGTGGTGTTGTTGGTGTTGATGGTGTTGTGATGGTGGTGTTGATGGTGATGGTGTTGATGGTGTTGTGGTGGTGGTGGTGGTGATGGTGGTGATGGTGGTGGTGGTGATGGTGGTGTTGGTGTTGATGGTGGTGGTGGTGATGGTGGTGGTGGTGGTAATGGTGGTGATGGTCGTGATGGTGATGGTGGTGATGGTGATGGTGGTGTTGGTGATGGTGGTGTTGGTGATGGTGATGGTGGTGTTGGTGATGGTGGTGTTGATGGTGGTGATGGTGGTGATGGTGGTGATGGTGGTGATGGTGGTGTTGGTGTTGGTGGTGGTGATGTTGATGGTGGTGTTGGTGTTGTTGGTGTTGTTGGTGTTGATGGTGGTGTTGTTGGTGTTGATGGTGTTGATGGTGGTGATGGTGTTGTTGGTGTTGTTGGTGTTGTTGGTGTTGTGATGGTGGTGTTGATGGTGTTGTGGTGGTGATGTTGATGGTGGTGTTGGTGTTGTTGGTGTTGATGGTGGTGATGGTGGTGTTGTTGGTGTTGATGGTGTTGATGGTGGTGATGGTGATGGTGTTGTTGGTGTTGTTGGTGTTGTTGGTGTTGTTGGTGTTGTGATGGTGGTGTTGATGGTGTTGTGGTGGTGATGTTGATGTTGTTGGTGTTGATGGTGGTGATGGTGGTGTTGTTGGTGTTGATGGTGTTGATGGTGGTGATGGTGATGGTGTTGCTGGTGTTGTTGGTGTTGTGATGGTGGTGTTGATGGTGTTGTGGTGGTGATGGTGATGGTGTTGTTGGTGTTGATGGTGATGGTGTTGATGATGGTGGTGCAGTGTGCTCAAAGCGAGCTAGACCAAGAGACGGTCCGCTCCATCCTGAGCGAGTACAAGATCCACAACGCCGACATCACCCTGCGCTGTGATGCTACGGCAGACGACCTCATCGACATCGTCGAGGGCAATCGGTGAGGAGCTCCTCCTCACCGCCACAGTCAACAACGCCATCATCATCATCATCTCCACTATCAGCATCACCATCATCACCACCACCACCACCACAGTCAACATCATCATCACCATCATCTCCATCATCATCACTATCAGCATCGCCATCATCACTATCACCACCACAGTCAACATCATCTCCATCATCTCCACTATCAGCATCACCATCACCACTATCATCATCATCATCATCACCATCATCACCACTATCATCATCATCACCACTATCATCATCACCACCACTATCAGCATCACCATCACCACCACCACCACAGTCAACATCATCTCCATCATCTCCACTATCAGCATCACCATCACCACTATCATCATCATCATCACCATCATCACCACTATCATCATCACCACTATCAGCATCACCATCACCACCACAGTCAACATCATCTCCATCATCTCCACTATCAGCATCACCATCACCACTATCATCATCATCACCATCATCACCACTATCATCATCATCACCACTATCAGCATCACCATCATCACCACCACCACCACCACCACCACAGTCAACATCATCTCCACTGTCACCACCACCACAGTCAACAACATCATCATCACCATCATCTCCATCATCATCATCATCACCATCATCACCACCATCACCACCACCACAGTCAACAACATCATCATCATCTCCATCATCATCAACATCACCACTATCGGCACCACCATCACCATCATCACCACCATCACCACCACCACAGTCAAAATCATCATCATCATCACCATCATCTCCATCATCATCACCATCATCTCCATCATCATCAACATCACCACTATCAGCTCCACCATCACCACTATCAGCATCACCATCATCATCACCACCATCACCACAGTCAACAACATCATCATCACCACCACCATCATCTCCATCATCATCAACATCACCACTATCAGCACCACCACTATCAGCATCACCATCATTACCATCATCACCACCACCACCACAGTCAACAATATCATCATCACCACCATCATCACCACCATCATCTCCATCATCACCATCATCACCATCACCACTATCTGCATCAGCATCACCACTAGCAGCATCATCACCATCATCACCACCATCACCACCACCACAGTCAACAACATCATCATCATCACCACCATCATCTCCATCATCACCACTATCAGCATCACCATCACCACTATCAGCATCACCACCATCACTACCACCACAGTCAACAACATCATCATCATCACCATCACCACTATCACCATCACCACTATCAGCACCACCATCACCACCATCATCACCATCACCACCATCATCACCATCGCCAACACCATCACCACCACCACCATCATCACCACCACCACCATCACCACCACTCTGTGTGTAGAGTCTACCTACCGTGTATCTACATCCTGAACAAGATCGACCAGATCTCTCTCTGTCTATCTGTGTGTGTGTTTATCTGTGTGTGTGTCTGTGTGTGTCTATCTGTGTGTGTTTATCTGTGTGTCTATCTGTGTGTGTGTCTGTCTATCTGTGTATCTATCTGCGTGTCTATCTGTGTGTATCTATCTGTGTGTGTATCTATCTGTGTGTCTATCTGTGTGTGTCTATGTGTGTATATCTGTGTGTGTGTCTATCTGTGTGTGTCTCTCTGTGTGTAGAGTCTACCTACCGTGTATCTACATCCTGAACAAGATCGACCAGATCTCTCTCTGTCTATCTGTGTGTGTCTATCTGTGTGTGTGTCTATCTGTGTGTGTCTATCTCTGTCTATCTGTGTGTGTGTCTATCTGTGTTTGTCTATCTGTGTGTGTCTATCTCTGTCTATCTGTGTGTGTGTCTTATCTGTGTGTGTGTCTATCTGTGTGTGTTTATCTGTGTGTATCTATCTGTGTGTCTATCTGTGTGTGTCTATCTGTGTGTATCTATCTGTGTGTGTCTGTGTGTGTGTCTGCGTGTGTCTATCTGTGTGTGTCTGTCTGTGTCTCTGTGTGCTTGTGTCTATCTGCGTGTCTATCTGTGTGTGTGTCTATGTGTGTGTAGAGTCTACCTACCGTGTATCTACATCCTGAACAAGATCGACCAGATCTCTCTCTGTCTATCTGTGTGTGTATCTATCTGTGTGTGTGTGTGTCTATCTGTGTGTGTGTCTATCTGTGTGTATGTGTCTATCTGTGTGTCTATCTGTGTGTGTATCTATCTGTGTGTCTATCTGTGTGTATCTATGTGTATGTCTATCTGTGTGTGTCTATCTGTGTGTGTCTATCTGTGTGTGTTTCTATCTGTGTGTGTATCTGTGTGTGTCTATCTGTGTGTGTCTATCTGTCTGTGTCTATGTGTGTCTATCTGTGTGTGTGTCTATCTGTGTGTGTGTCTGTGTGTGTCTATCTGTGTGTGTCTATATGTTTGTGTCTATCTGTGTGTGTCTATGTGTGTCTATCTGTGTGTGTGTCTATCTGTGTGTGTGTCTATGTGTATGCCTCTCTGTGTGTCTATCTGTGTGTGTCTATCTGTGTGTGTTTCTATCTGTGTGTGTATCTGTGTGTGTGTCTATCTGTGTGTGCCTATCTGTGTGTCTATCTGTGTGTGTCTATCTGTGTGTCTATCTGTGTGTGTATCTGTGTGTGTCTATCTGTGTGTGTCTCTCTGTGTGTGTGTCTATCTGTGTGTGTGTATGTGTGTCTATCTGTGTGTGTCTATCTGTGTGTGTGTCTATCTATCTGTGTATCTATCTGTGTGTGTGTCTCTCTGTGTGTCTATCTCTGTGTGTGTAGAGTCTACCTACCGTATATCTACATCCTAAACAAGATCGACCAGATCTCTCTGTCAATCTGTGTGTGTCTATCTGTGTGTGTGTCTCTCTGTGTGTAGAGTCTACCTACCGTGTATCTACATCCTGAACAAGATCGACCAGATCTCTCTTTGTCTATCTGTGTGTGTGTCTATCTGTGTGTCTATCTGTGTGTGTCTGTGTGTGTCTATCTGTGTGTGTGTCTATGTGTAGAGTCTACCTACCGTGTATCTACATCCTGAACAAGATCGACCAGATCTCTCTCTGTCTATCTGTGTGTCTGTGTGTCTATCTGTGTGTGTGTCTCTCTGTGTGTCTATCTGTGTGTGTGTAGAGTCTACCTACCGTGTATCTACATCCTGAACAAGATCGACCAGATCTCTCTCTCTCTATCTGTGTGTGTGTGTGTGTCTATCTGTGTGTGTGTGTCTATGTGTGTGTGTGTGTCTCTCTGTGTGTGTGTCTATCTGTGTGTGTCTATGTGTGTCTATCTGTGTGTGTCTATCTGTGTGTCTATCTGTGTGTGTGTCTATCTGTGTGTGTGTAGAGTCTACCTACCGTGTATCTACATCCTGAACAAGATCGACCAGATCTCTCTGTCTATCTGTGTGTGTGTGTTTGTGTGTGTCTGTGTGTGTGTCTGTGTGTGTGTGTCTATCTGTGTGTGTGTCTATCTGTGTGTGTGTCTATGTGTGTGTGTAGAGTCTACCTACCGTGTATCTACATCCTGAACAAGATCGACCAGATCTCTCTGTGTCTATCTGTGTGTGTGTGTCTATCTGTGTGTGTCTATCTGTGTGTGTGTAGAGTCTACCTACCGTGTATCTACATCCTGAACAAGATCGACCAGATCTCTCTCTGTCTATATGTGTGTGTGTGTTTGTGTGTGTGTCTGTGTGTGTCTATCTGTGTGTATCTATCTGTGTGTCTATCTGTGTGTGTCTCTGTGTGTCTATCTGTCTGTGTGTAGAGTCTACCTACCGTGTATCTACATCCTGAACAAGATCGACCAGATCTCTCTCTATCTGTGTGTGTGTATGTGTGTGTGTGTCTATCTGTGTGTGTGTGTCTATCTGTGTGTCTATCTGTGTGTCTATGTGTGTGTCTATGTGTAGAGTCTACCTACCGTGTATCTACATCCTGAACAAGATCGACCAGATCTCCGTGGAGGAGCTGGACATCATCTACCGTATCCCACACTGTGTTCCAATCTCCGCTCACCACCGCTGGAATCTGGACGACCTCCTGGAGAGGATGTGGGATGCCCTTAGACTCGTGCGCATGTGAGTCACACACACGTGTCACACGTGTGTGTCAGTGTGTATGTGTGTACACTGTGTCTGTACACTGTGTGTGTACACTGTGTGTGTGTGTACATTGTGTGTGTGTACACTGTGTGTGTGTACACTGTGTGTGTACTGTGTGTGTGTGTACACTGTGTACTGTGTGTGTGTGTACACTGTGTGTGTGTACACTGTGTGTACTGTGTGTGTGTACACTGTGTGTGTGTGTACACTGTGTGTGTGTACACTGTGTGTGTGTGTACATTGTGTGTGTGTACACTGTGTGTGTGTACACTGTGTGTGTACTGTGTGTGTGTACACTGGAGAGGATGTGGGATGCCCTCAGACTCGTGCGCATGTGAGTCACACGTGTGTGTCACACGTGTGTGTCAGTGTGTCACGCGTGTGTACACTGTGTGTGTGTACTGTGTGTGTATGTGTGTGTGTGTACACTGTGTGTACTGTGTGTGTGTGTACACTGTGTGTACTGTGTGTGTGTGTACACTGTGTGTGTGTGTACACTGTGTGTGTGTGTACACTGTGTGTGTGTGTGTACACTGTGTGTACACTGTGTGTGTGTACACTGTGTGTGTGTGTGTACACTGTGTGTACACTGTGTGTACACTGTGTGTGTGTGTACACTGTGTGTGACTGTGTGTGTGTGTACACTGTGTGTGACTGTGTGTGTGTGTACACTGTGTGTGACTGTGTGTGTATACACTGTGTGTGCATACACTGTGTGTGCATACACTGTGTGTGTGTACACTGTGTGTATACACTGTGTGTACCCTGTGTGTACACTGTATGTGTGTACACTGTGTGTGTGTGTACTGTGTGTGTACTGTGTGTGTGTGTACACTGTGTGTGTGTGTACACTGTGTGTGTGTACACTGTGTGTGTACACTGTGTGTATGTACACTGTGTATGTGTGTACTGTGTGTGTGTGTACACTGTGTGTGTACTGTGTGTGTGTGTACACTGTGTGTGTGTACACTGTGTGTGTGTGTACACTGTGTGTGTGTGTACCCTGTGTACACTGTGTGTGTACACTGTGTGTACTGTGTGTGTGTACACTGTGTGTGTGTGTACACTGTGTGTGTACACTGTGTGTGTATACTGTATACACTGTGTGTGTACACCCTGTGTGTGTGTGTCTCTGTGTGTGTCCACTGTGTGTGTGTACACTGTGTATACACTGTGTGTGTGTGTCTGTGTGTGTGTGTACACTGTGTGTGTGTGTGTACGTGTGTGTGTACTGTGTGTTTGTGTGTGTACACTGTGTGTGTGTACTGTGTGTTTGTGTGTGTACACTGTGTGTGTGTACACTGTGTGTGTGTACACTGTGTACACTGTGTGTGTGTGTGTGTACACTGTGTGTGTGTACACTGTGTAAACTGTGTGTGTGTGTGTGTACACTGTGTGTGTGTACTGTGTGTTTGTGTGTGTACACTGTGTGTGTGTACTGTGTGTGTGTGTGTACACTGTGTGTGTGTACACAGTGTGTGTGTACACACACACACTGTGTACACTGTGTGTGTGTACACTGTGTGTGTACACTGGAGAAGATGTGGGATGCCCTTAGACTCGTGTGACACGCGTGTGACACGCGTGTGACTCACTGTGTGTGTACTGTGTGTGTGTGTGTACTCTGTGTGTGTGTGTGTACTGTGTGTACTGTGTGTGTGTACACTGTGTGTGTACTGTGTGTGTGTGTACACTGTGTGTGTGTACTGTGTGTGTGTGTGTCAGTGTGTGTCACGCGTGTGTCACGCGTGTGTGTGTGTACTGTGTGTGTGTGTACTGTGTGTGTGTGTGTACTGTATGTGTGTGCAATGTGTGTGTGTGTACACTGTGTGTGTGTAGTTACACGAAGCCCAAGGGACAGCTGCCTGACTACTGTGTGTACACTGTGTATGTACACTGTGTGTATACTGTGTTTATACTGTGTGTACACTGTGTGTACACTGTGTGTGTACCCTGTGTGTGTACCCTGTGTGTACACTGTGTGTGTGTATACACTGTGTGTGTGTGTACACTGTGTGTGTACCCTGTGTGTACACTGTGTGTGTACCCTGTGTGTACCCTGTGTGTGTGTGTGTACACTGTGTGTGTGTACACTGTGTGTGTACCTTGTATGTACCCTGTGTGTACACTGTGTGTGTACATTGTGTGTGTGTATACCCTGTGTGTACCCTGTGTGTACACTGTGTGTGTACACTGTGTGTGTACATGTGTATGTACACTGGTGACGTCACCGCCACTTAGTGGCGAATGGCGGTTGTTGTTGTACACTGTGTGTGTGTCTCTGTGTGTGTGTATGTACCCTGTGTGTGTGTCCACTGTGTGTATGTAGTTACACGAAGCCCAAGGGACAGCTGCCTGACTACTGTGTGTACCCTGTGTGTGTGTACCCTGTGTGTGTGTATACACTGTGTGTGTACACTGTGTGTGTACTGTGTGTGTGTACTGTGTGTGTGTACACTGTGTGTGTGTACACTGTGTGTGTGTACACTCTGTGTGTGTACACTGTGTGTGTGTGTGTCTCTGTGTGTACACTGTGTGTACACTGTGTGTGTGTGTACACTGTGTGTGTGTACCCTGTGTGTGTAGTTACACGAAGCCCAAGGGACAGCTGCCTGACTACTGTGTGTATACTGTGTGTGTACTGTGTGTGTGTGTACACTGTGTGTGTGTACCCTGTGTGTGTGTATACACTGTGTGTGTGTGTGTATATACTGTGTGTGTGTACACTGTGTCTGTGTGTACACTGTGTATACTGTATGTACACTGTGTGTGTAGTTACACGAAGCCCAAGGGACAGCTGCCTGACTACTGTGTGTATGCTGTGTGTGTACACTGTGTGTGTACCCTGTGTATGTATACTGTGTGTGTGTACACTGTGTGTGTGTGTGTGTACACTGTGTGTGTGTACCCTGTGTGTGTGTATACACTGTGTGTGTGTGTGTGTACACTGTGTGTGTGTGTATACTGTGTGTGTACACTGTGTGTGTGTGTACACTGTGTGTGTGTACACTGTGTGTACACTGTGTGTGTACACTGTGTGTGTGTACACTGTGTGTGTAGTTACACGAAGCCCAAGGGACAGCTGCCTGACTGCTGTGTGTGTGTACCCTGTGTGTGTGTATACTGTGTGTGTGTACACTGTGTGTGTGTACACTGTGTGTGTGTACACACTGTGTGTGTACACTGTGTGTACACTGTGTGTGTGTACACTGTGTGTGTGTATACACTGTGTGTGTACACTGTGTGTGTACACTGTGTGTATACTGTGTGTACCCTGTGTGTGTGTATACTGTGTGTGTGTACCCTGTGTGTGTGTAGTTACACGAAGCCCAAGGGACAGCTCCCTGACTACTGTGTGTACACTGTGTGTGTACCTTGTGTGTGTGTGTACACTGTGTGTGTACCACTGTGTGTGTGTATACTGTGTGTGTACACTGTGTGTACACTGTGTGTGTTCACTGTGTGTACACCCTGTGTGTGTATACTGTGTGTGTACACTGTGTCTGTAGTTACACGAAGCCCAAGGGACAGCTGCCTGACTACTGTGTGTACACTGTGTGTGTATACACTGTGTGTGTGTACACTGTGTGTATACTGTGTGTGTGTGTGTACACTGTGTGTGTGTACACTGTGTGTGTATACTGTGTGTGTACACTGTGTCTGTAGTTACACGAAGCCCAAGGGACAGCTGCCTGACTACTGTGTGTACACTGTGTGTGTATACACTGTGTGTGTGTACACTGTGTGTGTGTACACTGTGTGTACACTGTGTGTGTACACTGTGTGTATACTGTGTGTGTGTACACCCTGTGTGTGTGTACACTGTGTGTGTAGTTACACGAAGCCCAAGGGACAGCTGCCTGACTACTGTGTGTATACTGTGTGTGTGTATACTGTGTGTGTATACACTGTGTGTGTATACACTGTGTGTGTGTACACTGTGTGTGTGTACACTGTGTGTACACTGTGTGTGTACACTGTGTGTACACTGTGTGTGTGTGTACACTGTGTGTGTACACTGTGTGTGTGTGTACACTGTGTGTGTACACTGTGTGTGTACACTGTGTGTATACTGTGTGTACCCTGTGTGTGTGTACACTGTGTGTGTGTGTACACTGTGTACACTGTGTGTACACTGTGTGTGTACACTGTGTGTGTACACTGTGTGTACACTGTGTGTGTACACTGTGTGTGTACACTGTGTGTGTGTGTACACTGTGTGTGTGTGTACACTGTGTGTGTACACTGTGTGTGTACACTGTGTGTATACTGTGTGTACCCTGTGTGTGTGTACACTGTGTGTGTGTGTACACTGTGTACACTGTGTGTACACTGTGTGTGTGTAGTTACACGAAGCCCAAGGGACAGCTGCCTGACTACTGTGTGTACACTGTGTGTGTACACTGTGTGTGTGTACACTGTGTGTGTGTACACTGTGTGTGTACACTGTGTGTGTACACTGTGTGTACACTGTGTGTGTGTACACTGTGTGTGTAGTTACACGAAGCCCAAGGGACAGCTGCCTGACTACTGTGTGTACACTGTGTGTGTACACTGTGTGTGTGTACACTGTGTGTGTGTACACTGTGTGTGTGTGTACACTGTGTGTGTGTACACTGTGTGTGTGTACACTGTGTGTGTGTGTACACTGTGTGTGTGTACACTGTGTGTGTGTACACTGTGTGTGTACCACTGTGTGTGTAGTTACACGAAGCCCAAGGGACAGCTGCCTGACTACTGTGTGTACACTGTGTGTGTACTGTGTGTGTACACTGTGTGTGTATACTGTGTGTGTGTACACTGTGTGTGTGTGTGTACACTGTGTATACTGTGTGTACCACTGTGTGTGTAGTTACACGAAGCCCAAGGGACAGCTGCCTGACTACTGTGTATACACTGTGTGTGTGTGTACACTGTGTGTGTACACTGTGTATACACTGTGTGTGTACACTGTGTGTGTGTACACCCTGTGTGTG